CTTCAATGCTGCAGAAATTTTTCTGTACTCTTCCCCAGATCTGTGCCTTGATACAATCCTGTCTCGGAGGTCTAGGGTTAATTCTTTGGACTTCATGGCTTGGTTTGTGCTTTAACATGCACTGTTAACTGTGAGACCTTATATAGACAGGTTTATGCCTTTCCTAATCATGTCCAATCAACTGAATTTCCCACAGGTTGACTCCATTCGAGTTGTGGAAAATCTCAAGGATGATCAGTGGGAACAGGATGCACTTGAGCTCAATTTTGAGTGTCATGGAAAAGGCTGTGAATACTTATGTACATGTGTTTTTTTTTTTTTTTATATTTAATAAATTGCAAAAATTTCAAACAAACTTCTTTCATTTTGTCATTATGGGGTATTATTTGTAGAATGTTGAGGAAAAAAATGAATTTAATCCATTTTGGAATAAAGCTGTAACATAACAAAATGTGGCCAAAGTTAATGTAAATACTTTCTGGATGCACTGTATATGTCCAATCTATGCTATGCACTTAGGTAGCTGCCACACATGCCAAAATGTATGTTATAATCTAGACCTGTGCTTACATAATCATGATCCTCTCTAGATCATGAACTTTCTAAAACTCCCCACCCGTAAAACCAGTTATTTACCCTGGAGCAGTTTCTGATTGGCTGACCAAACACTTTTGATCTGGTTGTTAATCACGACTTAAGGAACACACTTAAGGCCAGCTCTAGTGTTTACAACCCTTATTACCCAGAACAATAAACACGTCCATTTTGTCAATTTACATTTTAGAAATAACACAGAACTAGCCTGCCATTTCTGTCAATCTTGATTACCTCCCTTTTAATGTGTAAATGGACCTTGTCTCTGCATGTCTTAAATATCAGGAATATTTACATTTTTATGTAGGAAAATTACACTTACAATATAATACATCCCCCACTTGGATCTGCTCTAACCAGAACTGATTCACAAAACAGATAATGGATGCTTCACAATGGCTCATATAAAGCATGAATTTGAAACTGGTTACATCTCTCTTCACCAGCCTCTAAAACACCCCCATGAAAAAAATTATATAATATAACTTTAGACTATGACTAGCAAAGGATTTGGTGAATTTCAGTATCCCAAATAGTTTTTAGGCCTTATCATAGCTCAAAGTTTTCCCCAAGTGGACACACGTTTATTGTGTATTTCATAAAGACAAGCTGATATCATAGTCCAGTCCTGGGATTGACTTTGTTATATAAGTCACCTCTCACCATCTCACAGAAAGTAATTCTTGGTGTTAATGCTCTAGAAGCTCCAATCCGCATAAATCAAGGATTTTTCTCCATCTCCAAGCTCAGGGGTTCAATTTTAAGATGAATTGTTCAGTTTTAGCAATCTTTCTCACAAGTCAAAAATGAGACTTCTACCAGCAACAATTTGCTTTCATAATCTGCTATAAGTCGACCCCACATTGCCTTCAATAGATCAGTTACTCTGATCATACAGTACATAATTCCACTGAAGAGAACCACACGATAGTTTAGATAGTATCAGCTTTGCATTAATGTTTATCAGATCATTTGTCCTGACAAAACAGTAGTAGAAATTCTTGCCAGTATCTTCGCCATGAAAGGTAGAAAGTTCTTTACATCCATATGTCATAGTCTTCAGCATATTATAAACAACTGACTCAACAAAATTTGAATTTCACTTACCCCTCTTACAGTATATCCTCAACTCATGTTATTCTTCCCAGTATGAGTATCAATGTGCCATTACTCAGACACCCAGTAAGTTATGCTATGCAAAGTCATTATTTTACATCTTACCTCAGATGTTACATGTATACAGATGTTATGATTGTTATGATAATGCTTATTGGGTATACATGCTTCTCTATGGTTTTAAGATAAAGATCAAGAAATAAAACATAATGAAAATAAAATCTTAAGGCAAAATAGATCAGAAAAAAGTAGGAAGGTAGAAAAAAAAAATAAAAGTGTAAAGTCCAGTGAATGAAAATAAAATATTAACATACGCACATTAACATACCATGTTTTTTTTCCAGTTCAGTGATTTCAAAGAATTGAAACCAGGCAATTTACATTTTCAGAAGCAGGTCAGTAATGACAATCTGCATATTTTTCTCAGTACAGGTTTCCTTATGTAGCCTTTATTAGACTGATGATAAAGTTGGATAGGGTGTACACACATTTAAATTAAACAGTTACATAGTTAGTCTGGCTGAAAAAATGGCAAACGTCCATCCAGTTGAACCATAAAAAAAAAAGTTATAATCCTATACCCACAGTTGATCCAGAGGAAGACAAAAAACCCAGCAAAGCATGATCTAATTTGCTCCTGCAGAGGAAAAAATTCCTTCCTGATCCCCCGAGAGCTATAAGACATTCTGAAAAATGAGAACCAGAAGTTATTTAAAAAAAGATGACAGATCCAGTCCAATAACAAAACTGGGACTAATCCTTCCGTGACCAGAGGTGTTTGATGCCTAGCAGAATCAGCATGTGTCGGTTAACTTGACTATAAGGCCTGGTACACACATCAAGTTTTTGGGATGAACGAAAAAAAATTGAAGAGTTCAGGAGAAGACTGCTGTACTAAAAATGTGCTTTTAGTATAGTGATCTCCCCATTGAGCTATTGTGTTCTTACATGGGGACCGCCTAACCACCCACAAGAACACACCGGTAAGCGCTCGTAGCCATTGGCTGAGAGTGAAGATTGGATATAGCTGGTCTTTCAGCAAATTCATTCAACAGAAGTCGACCGAAAAAATTGACTTCTTTCAAACAAGGACCTGTACACACAATGCCGAATGTTGGCCAGCATCTACTTATATTCCGCCGTGTGTACAAGGTTTAACTATATGGCTAATTTGCATACCCATTTTTTCATATAAGGGTTTTATATGGTACCATGGCTCTTTATTATAGCCTACCAATTACAAAAAAGTTAAACTACTGTAAATGTTTTTATTTGATAAATAAGTTTTAATTTTTTTATATTAATTTAATTGTATCTGACAATTACAGTATTAAATAGGGACACACATTCAGATTGCAGAGACATTTTCAGGCCGAAGGCTTATTTTGTGAGCGAACCCTCTAGGCTGTTTGTGATCATTTGTGTATGCCACAGCTGTCAGCCACCCACAGTGTTGGCTATTAGCAATTAAAGGGAAGAAAAATATAAACATACCCTCTCAATGCATGTTAATCTATAGCTTGCAATAGGGAGGGGAGCTGTCACGTACCTGGTTGGGGAGCCTGACGTGGAGAGGAGGTGCCCTATTACGTCTCCCGATCAGAGCCCCTGATAGTGGGAACAGAGGGCGCAGAGCCAGGAGTGGCATGAGTACCGGGTAGGTCTGGAGCTGGCGCAGGTAGGTGAAGACCCAGGAGTCCCGGATGCAGGCCGGGTGCAGGACCGTGGGTGCAGCAGCAGGTAAGTATGGCGGTGACCAGGATGCAGGTCAGGTGCAGGATCATGGGTGCAGCAGCAGGTAAGTATGGCGGCAATCAGGATACAAGCCAGGTGCAGATACAGGTAAGTAGGTGCAGCAGAGTCTGACAAGCTGGGTCAGGATCAAACGAGCAAATCAAGTACAAGCAAGCAGGCAAGCAGATAGTCAGGGATAGCCAAGGTTGGTGCAGGCGGAGTTCTTTCTTAGTCAGGTCAGATCAGGATACAGGCAACAGAATCAGGTTATGGGGTGCAGAACGTTATAGACCAGAAGGCATTGATTACACTGTATTGCAGGTTTAAATAGCCCGCCTTGCAGTGACGTGTACCCTACAGCACATGCGCGCACTTGCACGCTCCTGTGCATGCACGCTCCCGCGCATGTGCACTCACAACGCTGCGGTCCGAGGGAATCAGCTGCGCGGCAACAGGTTCCCTGACAGGAGCTAACAAATCCATTATATAGCAGAGACATGCTGCAAGCCAAAACAGCTAGGTGCTACTTTATCAGCCTAATTGCAATTACTCCAATTTAAATAGTGCATCATCATGTATCTATGTTAACATTATTGTGATTATTCTCATGTCATGATGTATAATGGTACTTAATTATTAAAAAACAAGGATATTGTTGTACCTATTAACCTTTTTTAATTCCATCTCATTAAAAGCAACATATATTTTATTTCTTATGTATGTAATCTTTGGAGAAGTTTGGGTGTCACCATTATAAACTGGAGTAATACCAAGTTCATAAAAGACCAAACATTTAGGTGCTGGAAACACAGGCAAGTATATTGGTAACAGGGAGATTGGGAGCGCTAGAACATAAACCCAAATAGGGATGGGGATTAGGGATGGCCCATAGGTGGATACATATGTAAAAGGTCCATATATGCAAAAAGTGTCTTGTAGGTATATAATCTAGCACTGTCTTAAGTGGAGGGCTTGAAGATGGATAAGTCTGTGGAAATGTACAGTATGTCTTGAAGACGGAGGCAGCCAGCTGTCAGAGCTTGAGGATACTGTGGTACACAGATAGGAGAGAGGAGAAACAGTGGTGCCATTCTAAGGGTAGACATTTAAAAATCAGGCTGATTTAATGATAAAAAACACACTCACAAGAGTAGATAAAAAACAAACATATCGAAGTGTGAAAGGTCCGGTGATACTTGTGCTCCTATGCTGTGCTTCTGTGTTTCGCCGATGCTCCGGCGGTTTCCAGGGCTCGGGGGTAGCAGACAGATGCAGGGGGGCTCTGTACAATGGCATCACTTGGAACCAGATCTCCAAATATGGCACGCATTTGGAGCATGTGCGCTCCTTCCTCAGGCCGCTCTTAGTTGAGGCTTATATGGGCAGTGATGGTGGGAGGAGCATGAGATTGCAAGCCTGCCTACACTGCTGTTGTACGGGGTTAGTAGATGTTTTGGAGGTTTTTAGTTTGCTGTGGGTTATATTGCTTTTCATGTGTCGGGCTCTTGGGTATGTTGGGGATAGATGACTTCAGGTGGGGGTTCTCCATTAGGATTCCCCAGTGTTTACCTCAAATCTGTTCCATTTTGCGGTGGTGGGTGTGGAATTGTATCGTAAATTGTAATGGTTGGGAGCTGGGCTGGTTGGTATTGATGGGCACAGGGGTGGACTGACAACTCATGGGGCCCCCGGGCAATCGGGGATCATGGGGCCCTGTGTCCTTGCCCAAACTCAAAAAAGCCTATGAAAAAGGTACCAGGGGCATCTCATGGGGCCCCCTACTGGCCCCGGGCCTTCGGGCAGTGCCCGAGTTTCCAAATGGTCAGTCCCGCCCCTGGATGGGCATGTCAGTAGATTTAGGTTAAGTAGAAGAAAAGGCATCTAGAAGTAGCGAAAAACCTCCAAAACACCCACTAACACCATGATAACCTTCTTGTCCATCATAGGCATGTATCAGTGCATTAAACCCAAATGCCTAACATGCAAACATGTCCAACATGGACAAAAACAATTTTCCACCAAAGGTAAAACCTATAATTTATTAGAGTTTTACAACTGCTCCTCAGAGTTTCTGATTTACTGCCTATCCTGTCCTTGTGGTCTTCTTTATGTCGGTCGCACTACTAGAACATTGCACCAGAAATTTGGAGAACACAGGCACTCAGTGGAAGAAGGGAAAAACCATTGAGTATCCCCAAACACTTCTATGAATTCCATTCCCAGTCTTCTGCTAGCCTGAGAGTGTGGGTCATTGAAACCATTCCTAAGGGCTCCCCCAAGAAGAGGATTTTAAGTGTCTTTTCCAAAGAGATACATTTTGGAACTACACCCTAGATACTTTGGCACCTGGAGGCCTGAACGAAGAACTAGAATTGTTCACAGTATTATAATATTGGTCACCACACTACTCTTTCTGCCCCTTTTTTCCATTAGTCCATCATGTCCTTCCTCCTCCTTGACATATTCCCATTCATAATTTCATTGCCATATAACCGCATTATTTATTTCCATAAAAATCATACATTCCACCCAGTACATAACATCCCAGTAAGCGTATGTCCTTTCAGATATTATAACTTACAGTTTAATTTATATACTCTCATTCATATTCCCTTAGACCTTATCAAATACTCTTTTTTATTTTTCCCATTTTTCATCATGCTATTGATTTTTTTATTTTTATTTGTATGATCTCATGCTTTTTATTTTTAATTTTCATCTCTGCAGGACCCTTATGGTCTGTTATGTTAGTGATACCATCTCTTTATGAAAGCCCTCAGTTTAGAAAACTGCGATTGTAAGTATCATACATATCCTAAGTACCCTGTTGCTGCATGTCCAGAACTATACATTTAAACTACCTAGTCACCATAGTGCATATAGTCTATTCCATCTGATAACAGCAGTGTAGGCGGGCTTGCAATCCCATGCTCCACACACCGTCACTGCCCATATAAGCCTCAACTAAGATGGCTGCAGGCTCGGTCTGAGGAAGGAGCATGCATGTTCTGAACGTGCGCCATATTTGGAGATCCGGTCCCGAGTGATGCCATGGTACAGAGCCTCCCTGCACCTCTCTGCTACCCCCTGAGCCCTGGAAACCACCGGAGTTGTGGGGAAACACAGGAGCACCACATAGGACCACAATCATCACCGGACCTCTCACACATATGCCTGTTTTTTATCTACTCTTGTGAGTGTGTTTTTAACATTAAATCAGCGTGCTTTTTAACAGTCTACACTTAGAGTGGTGCCGCTATTTCTCCTCTCCCTATAAGTATATTGGTAACAGCTTCTTTAATGTCACAAAGTTTTTCACACATTGCCTATCTTTGTTACCTGAGGGCTGTCTCTTCTGATAATGTTCCTTTCTTAGGGCTCATGTACACTGCAGCGGATAAACTCATGTTTAGGAGCTATTCAGCGTTTTTTTCAGCAGCCCCTGAACTCACCCTAATGTTTTCCTATGTGTCATCGTTTACAGTCGTTTACAGGCAGTTGAGTTTACAGTCATTTTTTTGAACGCAGAAAACTTGCGCTCAGCAGTAGATTTTATCAGTGTTTCAAACGCAAAATGCTTGTAAACACAGCTAAATGTGTTTAGAGGCGTTTGCGGTTGAAATTTTTTTTTAACTCTTCCATTTCCAGATGCTGTCCAGAGCCTTTTTTCATCATGAAAAATGCATACAGGGTGTTTTCCCGGTACTCAAATGAACCTGGCACACCATACTTTGAGGTTCTGCATGAAAAAAAATGTTAGACACTGCTGCAATAATTTCTGCACAGAATTGAGCTGGAACACATCCAAACACCACAATAAAAAAAAAGAATCTCAATCTCAACAAATACTGCTCTCTCTGCTTCTGCTCTCTCTATTTCTCTCAAAATGTCTGAAATAGTTAATTTTTTACTGTTTTTCAGTGCTCTTGGGCATTTCGGAAGGTCTCCTGAGGTTATCTCAAAAAAAGGCTTCTAAACACAAACCCGGCTAAACAGACGTTTTTAATCCACTTTTTCCAGCAGTCAGTTTGCATCGTTCAGGGGCTTTAAGTGGAATCAGCAGGAAGTTAGGACTACGGCAAATCAGGAACACACAAGGTCACCGTGATATTAGATCTCTAGCCATTTTGATTGCTGTTATTTGTTTTTTCTGCTACTGGATTTGTTCTGTTACCTATGCTTGCCTGTTATTCTGTCAAAATCTGCCACGACTTGATTATAGACAGCACTCTTCCCCCTATCAAATAGGTACATCTCTTCAGTCATCAGTTTGCATTAGTGACCAGTCGATTAAATCTGAGGATTGCGATTTACAAGCATTATGCATCTTCTTGTGAGGCTTTCATGTAATTAAAGTGCTCATAAGACTTTGTAAAAACATGCATTCATAGTGCATTCAGGGATTAAGTTTGAGTTTGGTGCCCCCTTGGGTTCGAGGATGATCTTACGGTTTCACAGTTGGGTCAAAGTCTGAAAATGTTCATCCAAACCCATAATGCAGTGCATAACCTTTTTAAATGGTCAGATTGGAGAGACAATGGTCTGAAAGAATGGACAAGCCAGTCTCCCACATAATATCAGTGTATGTTAGAGCTGGCAAATCTTTATTGGGAATGTGTAAGGAAAGATATATTGTTATACTGTACTATACAGTTCTGTACAGTGCTATATTGTGGACTGCAGTGTGGTGGGCTATATTTACACATGTAAACTTACCCCCTTGCTCACAGTTCAGAGCACCTAACTGTCTCTCTATTATATTGGCAGCAAGTGTGCTTGTTTGCTATCCCCTGTGCTGCCCCTTCACAGCCTTTTTTCTTTTGTGATCAATAATGTATTTTTTTCTTTATTTAACATTTTTCCATTTTATTTTTTGCTAGAGTTAAAAATAAATAAAAATAGTGGGCTTAGTCTTTTAGGATGTGTGTGTGTGTGTGTGTAGATATATATATATATATATATATATATATATATATATATATATATATATATTTTGTTTTTATTATTATTATAAAAAAAACCAAAAGAAATCTGTGTTCTCCAAATTATTTTGCTGCAATCTCCATAGACATTTATTCACAACGGTACAAGGCAAGTACAGAGCACAACAGTGTTGAGTACACTCTTCGTCAGGTATTAAGTAATCATCAATTAACAAAAATCCACCTAAATGCAACTTGCAACGGAGGCTACACTGAACCTCACTCTTGATTCTCTTCCCCTTCATTGGATCTTCATTCACAAATTTGAATGACATTTCATGAAATAGTAACCTGAATGACTAATGAGTAACATAACAAGAGAAAAAAGTATGTACACACTACATGCTAGAGTCTTGTCTTCATTCTTCCAATACTTAAGATGAGAACAATAATGCATAGTTCTTCCAACGTGGTTGCTAGTTAATAGTTTCTCAAGGAAAGTTCCCTGATCTCGTTCAAATATAAAATATTTCATTAAGTACATGAAAAATACAACTGATTTACAATAACAAATACAGGTTGTAATATCCCTAGGGATATATGTTTCCAAATTTTTATCAACTACACGTTTGTGCTTTTCAGTGTTATATATCCATCTTCCCTCCTTTTTGACATGGTTACATCATCCAGTACAAGATATCTAAGATCAGTCTCTGTATGTCCAAGTTCTGCAAAATGATGTTTCTTTGTAATGCAATGTAATAGAATGCCTATGCTGGGAAATGCAATCTTTCCCCTTCTGCGTGTTTTCTGCAATATACACTATATTGCCAAAAGTATTGGGATGCCTGCATTTATACGCACATGAACATTAATGGAATTCCAGTCGTAGTTCGTAGGATTCAATATTGAGTTGGCCCGCCCTTTCAGCTACAACAGCTTCAACTCTCTTGGGAAGGCTGTCCACAAGGTTTAAAGGTTGTCTATGGGAATGTTTGACCATTCTTTCAGAAACACATTTGTGAGGTCAGGCACTGATATCAGACGAGAGGCCTGGCTCACAGTCTCCGCTCAAATTCATCCCAAAGGTGTTCTATCGGGTTGAGGTCAGGACTCTGTGCAGGCCAATCAAGTTCCTTCACCCCAAACTCGGTGATCCAGGTCTTTATGGACCTTGCTTTGTGCACTGGTGCGCAGTCATGTTGAAACAGGAAGGGGCCATCCCCAAACTGTTCCCATGAAGTTGGGAGTATGAAATTGTCCAAAATGTCTTGGTATGCTGACACCTTAAGAGTTCCCTTCATTGGACCTAAGGGGCCAAGCCCAACCCCTGAAAAACAACCCCATACCATTATTCCCCATCCACCAAACTTTACACTTGGCACAATGCAGTAAGGCAAGTACCGTTCTCCTGGCAACCACAAAACCCAGACACATCCACCGGATTGCCAGACAGATAAGCATAATTGGTCACGCCAGAGAACTCATCTGCACTGCTCTAGAGTCCAGTGGCGGCATTCTTTACACCACTGCATCTGGTGCTTTGCATTGCACTTGGTGATGGCTTGGATGCAGCTGCTCGGCTATGGAAATCCATTCCATGAAGTCCTCTACACAATGTTGTTGTGCTAATCTAAAGGCCACACGAAGTTTTGAGGTTTTTAGCTATCGACTCTGCAGACAGTTGGTGACTTCTGCACACTGTGTGCTTCAGCATGCGCTAACCCCGCTCTGTCATTTTACGTGTCCTACCACTTTTTGGCTGTGTTGCTGTTGTTCCCAATTGCTGCCACTTTGTTATAATACCACTAACAGTTGACCGTGGAATATTTAGTAGCAAGGAAGTTTCACAAATGGACTTATTGCACAGGTGGCAACCTATCACGGTACCACACTTGAATTCACTGAGCTTCTGAGAGTGACCCATTGGGGTTTATTTTTATTTACTAAAGCTGGAGAGTCCAAAATCAGACTCCCTTCTGCATAGAAACCAATCAGCTTCCAGGTTTCATTGCCAAAGCTTCATTGAACAAGCTGAGGTTAGAAGCTGATTGGTTTCTATGCAGAAGGGAGTCTGATTTTGGACTCT